CAGTTCAAAGTACTAAAAATGCACCAGGGCAGTCCAGAGTCATCTGCAACCTGTCCAGAGGGTGGACCACAGGACACAGTTCAAAGTACTAAAAATGCACCAGGGCAGTCCAGAGTCATCTGCAACCTGTCCAGAGGGTGGACCACAGGACACAGTTCAAAGTACTAAAAAGGCACCAGGGCAGTCCAGAGTCATCTGCAACCTGTCCAGAGGGTGGACCACAGGACACAGCTCAAAGTACTAAAAAGGCACCAGTGGAGTCCAGAGCAATTTCGTAGAGGAAAACAAAACAAACAAAACATGGCTACTTCCAACTAATCCTAAGGCAGACAAGCTGTGATGAAAGCCGGCAAATACACCTTGAATGATTACAAGAAGGTTGGTAAGTGCTGCAACTCAGCTGATGTCCAAGTGACATGCAGCTTTGAAATGCGGACCACACCAGAGAAACGGAATAAAATCAATGAGATAAGCCTCCATCCCGAGGCCGAAAACAAGCCGAAGCAGCAGCTCCAGCCAAGTAGTAAGGAATATGGTACGTAATAAAGCAGAAAACTCGAGAGAGGGACAAAGTTTTCTCTCCAACCAATGAACACACAGGCAGCTTCGACCTGGGTGTTGAAAATCGCCAAGGAGCTACAACCGACATGGCTGTGCCTGGCGCTCAGAAAAACAGAATAGTAGGAGAAAACCTTATGCTGATAAATCAGACACCGATTTAAAAAAAAAAAAAAAAAAAAAAAAAAGACAAATTCCCGGAGAAGTCCCGCATAGCGAAGCAGTTGCAGGTGGGTGAGATCATGCCAGGTGAGGGCTATAGAGGGCGTCCGACCCAGCTGGTGGGCTTTGCAGGCTGGGCTCCTGAGGGGTGAGCAGGAGCCCGCCAGGGAAGGGTCCTCCCTGGTCGCTCACACTACCGCGTCGCCGCTGCAGGGAGAACGCGGAGAACATGTACTATTTCTCGGAGCTGGCCCTGACCCTCAACGAGCAGGAGGACGGTGTAGCGCCCACCGACAGCCGCCTGCGGCCCGACCAGCGACTGATGGAGAAGGGGCGCTGGGACGAGGCCAACACTGAGAAGCAGCGGCTGGAGGAGAAGCAGCGCCTATCCCGCCGACGGCGGCTGGAGACGTGCGCAGCGAGCTGCGGCGGCGAGGATGGTGAGCCCAGAGCAGAGCATGGCGGGGGAGGGGTGAGCCCCGGGGGGATGGGAGGGGTGGGGTGAGCCCGGGGTGGGCGGGAGACGGGGAGGGGCGGTGAGTCCCCGGCATGGCCAGGGCAGCGGGCAGCGCCCCTCACCCGCTGTGCCTGCCAAGCAGAGAAGGAGTCAGACTGCTATACGCCGCTGTGGTTCGAGAAGAGGCTGGACCCGCTGACCGGGGAGATGGCCTGCATGTACAAGGGCGGCTACTGGGAGGCCAAGGAGAAGAAGGACTGGCACATGTGCCCCAACATCTTCTGAGCCACTCCTGCGGCAAATACAGCGCCTGCACAGCCCTCGGCCTGTTCTTTAATGCACCCAATTTAGTACTGAACCACACCTGTGCACACGGGCACACACACACACACACACACACACACACACACACACACACTCCTTTTTCCTAAAGGGGGCTCCCACCTTAGAAGGAGTAAGGGCTGACCTGGGTTTTCTCCAGCCCCCAGGTCGCCAGCCCGTTATCGTTGACTTGGGCCCCATGGGCACCCTAGTTCCCGGTTACCACACCTCAGGCTGGCCGCCTGGGCCATGGGCTGCTCAGGTCACTAACCCCAACCCAGGGAGAAACTACCCCCTCCTAGGGAGCCTCTTTTGACTTTTTTAAGAAAAGAAAAAAAACAAAAACAAAACAACAACAAAAACAACTCCCATTTCTTTCTAACGATGAGGTTTAGTAACTTTTTAGCACATCACTTAGAAGACTTGCTTTCCAAGTGTGCGTTCTTGCCACAAAACTGTCCTGGCAAGAAACGCTCTTCTAAAGACATAAGGAAGCCAGGCCCCTTTGAGTGGGGAGCACTTCTAACAGCTAGGTTTTGTATCTGGCTGTCCAAGTTCCAGGAGTTCAAATGCACAGAGACCGTGGGAAGCCCGCCTGACCTCCACAGGTGGGGGGCTCCCTGGAGGGACGACCCACGATGTGAGCAGGGAGGCAGTTGAAGGCTGCCCCCAAGTGGGCAGACAGCAGCAGCCCCTGCCAGGCCTTGGCCATGCTGGGACAGTGCCCCAGCCCCCAGAAGGCCAAGAAGGGCTGAAAGGCAGGGCCCCCAAATCAGCAATAAGGAACAAACCCTTCACTTAGCCTGGGCTGGTGACCCAGGCTCCAGACACCTGGCCTCTCGCCTTGTCCTTAGGCATCAGGGGTGCCTCATCTCAGCACTCCTGACATCTTTATTTGCCTAATTTATATATATGATATATAAATATATATAAAATAGCTATTTTGCTTAAATTTCTATGATATGTGAAAGTGAAAAATGATGAAGACAGGGTGTGCCTGTCTGAGTTTGGCTCCTGTTGGCTGTGCCCCGCCCTCCCCTTGTACCCCTTCCAGTGGCTCCTGCCAACCTTGGAAATGAAACATGTGACCCTCAGACCCTCTGACTCTAACCTGTCCCTTCAGTTTGGTCTGGAAAGGTAATTGCAAGGCCTTTCTTTCTACTCCAGGGCTGGTTTTTTATTAAAAAAGAAAAAAATGAAAACAAGTGTGAAATGCCTTATAATGCTACTCTAGAGAGGGGGTGGGGAAGGGGAGGGGGAGGAGGGGGAGGGGCATCTGTCTCCTCAGAGCTGGAATGTGCCTCTTCCCAGCAGGCTGAGCAAGCACCTTCTGATGGTAATAAAAGCCTCAGTTCTGGAGTTTTCCACAGCCCTGTCCCAGAATCTGTCTGTGGCTAGATGAAGTGTGGCTAATGACGGTGACAGCCATGTGGGGATGTGGGTGAGGGAGGAGGCATGGCTCTATTCTGCTCAATTCCTAAGCTGCAAGAGGTGAGTCTGGAGGGGAGGGGGAAGACCTGATGAGCTACTTCTCAACTGACTGAGGCAACACCAACTGACCAGAAGAGAGGCAACTCTGTATCATCATAGCCATGGCACCCCACAAGTCATGCATAAGCCACCAACAGCACCTCCTATTCTTTGTTCCTAGAAATGTCTAGGTAGAGGCACCCTGGCCATGGACCCCACAGCCCTCCATAAAGGCTGGTGAGTTCCATGCTGCCTAGCAACTGTGGCCTAGGCAACATCTATTGCCCTGCTGCCAAGCAACTCATCACAAGCTTCTGAGCCATGGGCCAGAGGCTCCCAGTGAGGGAAGTGGTGGGGCTGGGCACCACAGACACCAGAGCCAGGGCTCCCCATCTGCACCGCAGGCTCCAATTGGGCCCCATAAAGAGCCTTTCCAGCCTCACTCCATCCCTGGGAAAGTTGTCACTGTGAGCAGGAGAAGCAACCCTGGATGGACCTGACTCAGAGGGCAAGGGAGGGGACAAGCCACACTGGGCACAGAGAGGACAAAGGCCTGCACACTGTCAGCCCAGAGGGATGCAAAGAGCCAGGAATGGACCGGAAGAACTCTGAACAGGGAGGAATAGCAACAGAACGTTCTAGAAAGACTAACCTACGCTCTGGTTCCCTGTATCAAAGCCCCTCTGAGTAGGAAATTTTTTTTTAAAGATTTATTTATTATGTATACAGCATGTATGACTACAGGCCAGAAGAGAGCACCTGATCTCATTACAGATGGTTGTGAGCCACCATGTGGTTGCTGGGAATTGAACTCAGAACCTCTGGAAGAGCAGTCAGTGTTCTTAACCTCTGAGCCATCTCTCCAGCCCAGGAAATGTATTTTTAAGGAAAAGGCAGGGCTGCCATAGATAGCTGGATGGATAGCTGGGTTGGTCGGGTCTCCACAGCGGGCAGATTCATTCTCCCATTCAAAACCTGAAATCACTGGACCACACAAATCCTTTCTGGAGTAGTAAAGTAAATGAAGGAGTCTTGGGGGGTGGCTCAGTAGATAAAGCACTTGCCCTGCAAGCAGAAGGATCAGAGTTGGGTCCCCTGAACTCATGAAGCCCGGGCAAATATGGCAGCGACCTGCAGTGCTAGCACTGAGGCAACAGAGATGGGAGCTGGGGTACCCGGGAGCAAGCCAGCTAGCTAGACTAGCTGATTGGTGAGCTTGGGTTCGACTGGGAAGCACTGCTCAACAATAAAGGAGTGTACTTGAAGACATGCAACATGCGAGTGGGGCCTCTACAGGTATGCACACACATGTGCCCGTACCCCTTAATTACACACTGCGCACACAGAGTACAGTAACGTCGAACTGGCTGGGTGAGATGCCAGGCTAACCCAGCAAAGAAGTCAGAACAAAAGCAACAAAAGTGTGCTTACACCGTAGAGACAGGAAGTATCTCAGTGGTCCACGGAATGGAAGGAGATTGGAAAGACTGTGTGCAGAGAAGTCGAGCAATTGCAGATGCACAGCAAGCCAGCAAGGGGAGACAGAAGCGCCCCCCCCCCCAGAAGCACTTAGTGTGACACGCTGTGGGGTGCCAGTGGACACGGGCATGAAGACATAGTAAACTGAGTGGGGTGCAGACGTGGCAGCAAAGGCCTCCGCAGCAGTGTGGGCACACCCGTGATAGTAGGGAGAAGGCCCAAGAGAGTGGCAGGTGACTCAGAACAGCTACGCAGGCCACCAAAGTGGCAGTCAGGCTGCCACTTCTAAAAGACACAGGCTAAATTGCATTCACACTCTCTACCCTTTCGAATTGCTTCTTTTCATTCCTGCCTCCTCTTTTCTGTTTTCCTCTCACTAAGAACACAGGTTGGTCTGGGTGTGGTGACCTCTGTGGTCTCCTGAGAGCAGGGATGTCGTTCATCATGTGACTGCAGACCTTTACACCTCTCTGTTCAGCCAACTTTTAGCCAAGGCTTCCCCGTCCCCCACTTTGCCCCCCCATTCCCTCTTTGCACGGTTCCCTCCCCCACCTTTCCTTCAACTGAATACCAGCCACCAGTCTCTCCCTGAGTTTGGTTTTTCCTTTCCACCCAAACCCAAAGTCACTAATAGTTATTATACTCCCATCAGTGACCCTTGCTGCCTCAGTGGTTGGTGCTCACGGGAGACTGCCTATGACTGCACTTTCACCACAGGCTCATGTCTTTCATAATGACTTTCTCCAGATAATAGTCTAATAGCAGGTGTGTACTGGGGAGACCATGCCAGAACAACCCATTCAACACAAATACTCTCTGAAAGAATAAAAGTGATTTAAAAAAAAAAAAAAACAACAAATGACTGAACTCAAAATATTCAAATCAGGCAGTGATGGCACATGCCTTTAATCCCAGCACTCAGGAGGCAGAGACAGGCAGATCTCTGAGTTTGAGGCCAGCCTGGTCTACAGAGTGAGTTCCAGGACAGCCAGGGCTACACAGAGAAATACAGAGAAATTGTCTTGAAAAACCAAAAAAAAAAAAAAAAAGATATGAAAGTCCCAATGTAAAACCACAAGTAACATGAATGAAAAACAAGGCAACATCACTTCCCCCAAATTACTAGTCATCCTACAGCAGTGACCTCCTCCAAGGGCGAATTAGATGAAATCCCAGACAAAGAATTCAAAAGACTGATTGCATGCTCAAAGAAATCAAAGATAAAAATAAACTCCTTAGTGAGTTCCAGGAGAGCACAAACAGCTGCATGAAATAAGAAAGCCATCTCTACAGAAGGATCCTTGAAGAACTCCTTCAGACTGAAGAGAAAAATAAATACACACGTGAAGCCACAGAAAAGAATTAGCAACATCTGAATAAGCAAGAAAGGAATAGGGAAACAAACACTACAGAGTCACCATGACAGGACTTAATATACAACTTTCAATAAAAATTATTAATGGTCTCAATTCCCCAATCAAAAGATATAGACTATTGAATTAAAAATCAGGATATATTTATTTGCTGTCTTCAAAAAAACACATCTCACCATAAAAGACAGATACTACCTGGGCATGGAAGGATGGAAAAGGTACTCCACACAAATGGAAGAAGGAAGCAAGCAAGCATCACTGTTTTAATCACTGACAATTAGACTTCAGGTCTAAACAAATAAGAGAAGCCAGCAGTGGTGGTGCACACCTTTAACTCCAGCACTTGGGAGGCAGAGTGAGCCAGCCTGGTCTACAGAGTGAGTTCCAGGACAGCCAGGGCTGTTGTACAGAGAAATCCTGTCTGGAAAAATAAATAATAGTGAAAAATTTAAAAAAGTGTTAAAGAAGGTTACCTTCTACTGACCAAGGGGAACAATCCATCAAGAGGACATTGCAATTCTAAACATAAGCACCAAACACAGGGACATCTGGTTTCATTAAACAAATACAGCTAGACATAAAGTCACAGGTTAGTTCCAGCACAATAGTGGGTAACTTCAATAGCTCACTCTCACAGCAGGCGATTCCCTGCAAAAACCAGAGAAACATCTGAAATAAGTGACATCACAGGGCAAATGGACTTAATATACATCTACCAATCATCCTATCAAAACACTTCAAAATACATATTCTTGGCAGCCCATGGAACTTTCTCCAAAATCAGTTATACTGTTAGGACACAAAGCAAGTCTTAACAAATGTAGCAAAATTGAAATAATTCATTGTATTTTATCAATCACAGTGAAATAAAACAGATCAAGAAAAACTGGAGGATATGCTTTAATTGGTGGATATTAAACAACATACTATTGAATAATGAATTAGTCATTGAAGAAATCATGAAGGAACTCAAAACATACCTAAACCCAAATGAAAATGAAAATACAACATACTAAAGTCCATAGGACATAATGAAAGCAGTCTTATGAAGGGGGTTTATAGTTCTACGTGCCTACATTAAGAAATCAGAAAAAGCTGGGTGGTAGTGGCACATGCCTTTAATCCTAGCACTCAGGAGGCAGAGCCAGGTGGATCTCTGTGAGTTCAAGGCCAGCCTTGTCTACAGAGCGAGATCCAGGACAGGCACCAAAACTACACTGAGAAAC